AGATTCTCAGTGCTGTGCTTTAACCCGCTGCGCCACCAGGGAGGGCCAATTATTGGTAAATTTTTACATTCATATAGCTGTCAGCAATCCAGTTCGCTTCCCTGGAGTCTGCCAGATACTTTGTTTTGTCATGTGATTTTGTCTCATAAGCTTTTCTCTATATCTCTTTGTAAGAGAAATCCTATATTGTGGAAGAATAAAGGATCTTTGAAAAAAAAAATGGGGTCAAAATCTTCTACCCCTAAAAAAAATAAAATTCCTCATTAACACTACTCTTCCTTCTATGGAGAAGCCATTTATTTGCTGTTTCTAAATTAAACATTTTGTTAGATAGGGGTAGTGTTTTGTTGTAAGTCCATCTTGTGGACACCTCCATATACATATTTTATTGCGTTTGGATTTTTTTAAAGGATGGATTCTCATAATGGTTCTATTAGGTCAAAATCTTATTTACTCCCCCCCCCCATTTATATATCTGCTTACATTATTGTTCATCTTAAAGCATATTCACTCCCCCCATTTCACCCACCTGTCATCACCAACCATGTCCCCACATTCCTCCCAAAGCTTCAATATACTTTTACGGCAATACTTACTGAAAAGGTGCCTGTTTACACCTCTGCAGCATCACTAGCTAGTGACTTACATCCTTGCCAGTGCTGTCAGCAGATTTGCTAATTTGATAGCTCCAAAGTGGTACCTTAATTTACTTTGCGTTTCTTTAAGATTTATTTATTTGTGCATACAAACTGGGTGTAGGCCACACATGCAGGGGGTGAGAGGATTCACCAGGCACAGAGTGGGGAGCAGCAGGCCAAAGAGGAGAGGGCTATTGTCCTGGGATCCCTGGCATGAGGGTTACTGAGAGATCAGGAGACTTACCCTGCACCACCAGGGAGGTCCTGCTTAGCATTTCTTGCATTTGTGAGAGAGCATCTTCCTAAAGATTCCTACTTAAATTTTCTGTTTGGAGTTTTACATTTTTGGCATGTGTTCTTTGTTGTTGGCTGATTGTGGTTATCTGTTGAGCTTTTTTTGCTTGAACTTCAATTTGTACGAGCTTGGCAATGTACTAAGGCTATGTATACATGTAAAGTATTGCAAACTCCATTTGTTTACCCTTTTTAATCTTTAAATGGAAGATTTATATAGTCACTCAATTTTATCATCCTGATTCGTTTCCATTTTATGCTTACAGAACCCTCTGGAATTGACCCTGTGTGTGTGCATGGTACAACTTGATTTTTTTTTATTTTACTTTTAGAACAGTTATATTAATATTTAGTGTGAAATGAGAATCTAGATAGATTTTGTTTCCAAATAAGCAATCAGTTGTCCCACTAAGTAGTTCTTTGCTAAGCCAACTGGTTTAGAATACTAGTTTTTAAAGGTGGTTTTTAAGTGTGAACTGGGCTACCTCTATTTAGAACAGGGTGTCTTTCATGACTTTTTAGGGTCTTTTCCAGTCCTCATAGACTATGAGTCGTTTTCATTACTGTCTGCTTGTGAATGTTGGATATGTATGTTGATTAGAAAGTAAGTGAAAAGTAGGTTTGTAATGATAATAAGTAAATACAACGTTGTTAGCCTTTGAATGAATAGCTGCTTTATGGGTAAAAACAGTAAGCAAATTGTGACTGAGCCCCAAGAAGGCATTTTCTAGGAAGAAGTAGGTCTTTGGGCTCAGAAGGCACTTTCCTGGATATTGAATTCATTCTGCTTTTTTTTTTTTTTTTTTTTTAAAGATTTATTTATTTGTGCACACAGAACTGGGGTACAGGCCAGAGGCTCAGGGGCGGCGAGAGGCTTCACCAGAGACAGAGTGGGGAACAGAACAGGCAGATCAACGAAGTACACTGCTGAGGGGAGCAGCGGGCGGGCCAGGAGAGGTCTGCCACACCATGTGGTCACCTCCAGGGCAGGCGGGAATCGAACTCATGCGGAAGCGGCTTTAGATTCTCAGAGCTGTGCTTTAACCCGCTGCGCCACCAGGGAGGGCCCCATTCTGCTTTTTAACAGAATGAATTTTTCCTATTGGAAGCAAAGATTCTAACATAAGCATTTTGACCACATGTATATTTAAAGTCTTTTGGTTTATTTTATGTTTCTAACAGTTTAAACTAATATGGAAGTAGTGACTGTTTCCACCAGTTACCCCTTGAGGTGGGATTGGTGTGTTTTCCCTGTGAATTTTCAAAGACGTGGCTGGCCAAGGTGCTGATTTCCATGAGACTGATATTGAAGAGGTGTGTGTATGTATAGATGTATGTGTGAATGTAATAATTTTTGTACTTGTAATTCTATGGAATACAGGAAAAGGAAAAACTAAATTTTAAAAGATGTTGCCTTTATTTTCTTAAAAGATGTATTCATTTATGCTTACAAGAACTGGGGGACAGGCCAGAGGTGTGGTGAGTGAGAGGATTCCACAGAGACAGAGTGGGGAGCAGAACAGGCAGATCTACTGAAATATACTGCTGAGGGGAGCAGCGGGCAGGCCAGGAGAGGTCTGCTGGGCCCTGTGGCTCCACTCCCTGGCTGGGGATCGAACTTGTGCTGCAGGGGCTTCTGAGAGCTTCTTAGTGCTGTGCTTTAACCCATTGCACCACCAGGGAGAGTGCTTTTTATAAAATTGTTACAGTTTGGGAGGAAAATGTCATAGAAGAATTTTATTTTATTATTTTAAAAGGATTTATATATTTTGTACAGGCCAGAAGTGCAGGGGTAGTAAGAGGAATCACCAGAGACAGAGTGGAGACAGAACAGACAGTTTGATGAACTCCACTGCTGAGGGGAGCAATGGGCAGGACAGGAAAGGTCTGCTGCCCCATGTGGGACCCTCCCTGGCTGGGGTCCAACTCATGCTGAAGCGGGGCTGCTACTCCCGTCACAGTGCTGCACTTTAACCCCTTGTTTTACGAGGGAAGGCCTGGTCAGCATCTTTTTATTAAAACAAAGGAAACAAAACGCGCTCCCAGTAGCTCTCCCAGGAAGCCCCATCTGTGTCTATACAGGTGTCTTGTTTTTAATTTTCCTTTCCCTAATAAATACATCCTTTTAAAATACAAACAAAAAACACTTTCTAATGCTTTTGCAGATGTCAATGAATTTGTGAATACAGTTGTTTTAAGCTTCCTATAAACATTCTATTGTACACTCTCCAGGAGAAAATAAGCTCTTGATTATACTTGTGGTGGGTGTTCTGTCAGTGTATTTGTGGACTTGCTAGTGAGACAGATGTCAACAGGTTTATGAAAAGGTTTCATTTTACAAAAGATCGGCTTGGAAGAAATCCAGATCACTATTAGATTAACTCCAGTGAGAAATTGCTCCGTGGGTTCAGGACATGCTACCTCAGAACATGACGCCTTGACATACCAATTATCTGAAACTGAGTTTGAGAAAACAGCAGGAACAGGAAGGTCCCTCAAACCTCCTCACCTTGCCCTTGTTCCCCGAAACAAGCCATTAAAATCCTCGAGTACAAGGCACCCTCCTTATATCCTGAGGAAAGGAGGATCCTTATTTCTGAAGAACGGGGTGCATCAAGAATAATTAGTGACAGGCCTTGCAAGGTTTCCAACAGTGCTGTCATCACCTCCTGCTCCTCACCGCTCTGGTACCTCAGGACTGTCTGTTCTTCGTCAGGCACAGCATGGAAGTACAGAGGTCTGTTTCTTTGGATCTTTTTTTCCTTTTGAGAGTTTTCATCATGAAAAACTTAATCACTAAGTCAGTTTATGTGATTTCTCCTGCTCATCTTTGTCACTTTAATTTTTAGACCAAGCCGGGGGCCCTTAAGATGATCAGGGTAACTTTTTTCCCTCTTCTGCTATACTAAGACTAAATTTAAAAATTGGGATATAACTCTCATACTATAAAACTTCTCTGCTTTCTAATGTATGTACAAGATTGTGCAGCTGCCACCTGTAGGTACCTGGGAATGCCTTTCCCTGAATACTCGCAGGTCCTCCTTTGTCAAGCCCACTCTGCCCCCCAGATGTGTGAAAGGCGAACAGCCGCATACGGAACTGGGGTGCAGGCCAGAGGTGCGGGAGTGGTGAGAGGATTCACAGAGACAGAGTGGGGAGCAGAACAGGCGGATGGACAAAGTACACTGCTGAGGGAGCAGCGGGGAGACAGGAGGAGTCTGCTGCGCCCTGGGGGTCCCTCCCTGGCCGGGGTTCGAGCTTGTGCTGCAGCGGTTGCGGCTGGCTTGGCACCAGGAGGGTCGGAGGGGCATGTGCTTGTGCAATGGCGTCTCGTCTCGTGAGGTTGAGACCTCGGCTAGAGAGGCGCTGAGGTGGGGGTGGCGGCAGCCAGGAGGAGCCGGTGGCTCTGTCTAGGAGTGGTACTGCACCTGAGAGTTGAAAGGAAACTAGACACAAAGCAACTTCGCGGTCTTAGCGTCTGCTTCCAGTACTGTAGATGCGAAACTTTGCCAGTTCTGTTCATCCTGCTCAGGACGGTGGAGAGATCAATAGGTGGGTTATTTGGGAGGGAAACAAATGGGGTGTGAGCCTCAATCAGGCTACTACGAGTGGTTTGATTTGGGGTGAATGGTAGCCTTTCTTAAACATCAGGTTCCTCCTTTGCGAATTAGGGGCTCCGAGGGTGCCAGCATCGCGGGGTGTTGGGAGGGTTCACAAGCCAGCATGCCGGTTGCTGCCTATTTTGGATAAGGACCAGTTGTCATACTTCAATACCTACAGTTGACAGAAGTGAGATTCTGCCTTTCTTATCTGGGTTTTTCTTGTTACACAGTTGCTGACATTTTAACCTCATGTTTAGAAAGCGGGTAGTTTGATTCTTTTTAGGAAATGAATTACAATTTTTAGCTTGTTATATTGTGCTTAATTCTTATTTCTTTCTTTGCACAAAGCTGGAAATAAGATCCAGGTGGTCATGCTTCAGGAGTCCCGAGTTCATGATAACAATACCAGCCAGAAGTTCTGCTATAAAAACATGCTTGCCCCCAAATGGCATGATGTGTGGACACGAATACAGGTGATCATCTGCCCGCACCGGGGCGGCTTCTCTGACTCTGTCTACGGCCAGTGGTTCTTTGGTACTTGCTCTCCCTCAAGCACAATATTTATTTTATTTTTACTTTTTAAAGATTAATTTATTTTTATGCACACAAAACCGGGGCACAGGCCAGAGGTAGGGGGCTGAGAGGACCCACCAGAGACAGAGTGGGGGTCAGGTTGGGCAGATGGTCATAAACACTGCTGAGGGGAGCAGCGGGGAGACAGGGGGGGTCTGCTGCGCCCTGTGTTCACTCCCTGGCTGGGGATCGAACTTGTACTGCGGTGGCTGCGGACAGCTTCACAGTGCTGTGCTTTAGCTAGTACCACCAGGGAAGACCCTCAAGTATAAATTTTTAAAACGGGCTGTTAACAGCATTGTTAGAATTGAGCCATCCGGAGTCGATTTCACCAGTACACATGTATGCATGCTTTGTGTTCTTTCTCTGAATAGCTTATAAAACTTGACACTGAGGTGAAACTTCCTTTTCCTTTTCCCAAAGAAACTGCTTCCTGCTCTCCCGTTACACACACACACACACCCATCTTTTTAAAGGGCTTAACGCCTCCTTTGGGCTGGAAACTGTTGCACCCTGTCAGATGTAAACGCTTGCCTCGCCGCTGGTCCGCCATTTTCATCCTACACAAGATGTTTTGTGACCCCTTAGCTGAAGCTTCCCCATGATAGAAAGACTTTGGTCTCATTTATTTCATCACACTGCTAAGCCACCTGGCAAGCAAGTATCTGGCTATAATAATGATTGAACAAAATGGGCCCATTTGGCGATGTTGCTGCTGCTTCGAGCATAGTTACTGAGACGGGCATTTGTTGTGCACATCAGAAACAGAAGGGAGGGTTTGTGGGTTTTTCCCTTTTTCTTTAATTGATAAAATCATATTCCATCTGGTGCACATTATAACAAACATTTACCCGTAATCAGTGATTTGTGACACAGGATAATCTTCCTCAGCCATCATTATGGGAAACATTTTCAATTTTCTGGGGCTGTTTGTGGCTGATAATTTTCTTCATATTCTGGACCTTTGCTTTGTGTTCTCGCTCGTAAATTAACTACTGAAAACGCTGCTTGGAAGTCTCCTCGCCTCCCCAGTGTTCTGGTCTAGTAGTAGATTCAGGTCATGTTAACAGCAAGATTCTCCCAGCCGCGCCCTGCCCCAGGTGTGATGTCGTCTGCCCAGCTGGGGCTCAGCCCCTGGGGCGCCGCGTTTCCCGCAAGCCCTGTGCAGCGCCGCAGCGGTTACTCACTCAGCTATCTGCAGCTTTTTAAAAAATTGCCTTGGCCAGAATTGAAATTCCCGTGTCCTTCTTGCCCCGTTTGACTTGTGTTGCAGATCCGGGTGAACAGCTCCAAGCTGGTGCGAGTCACTCAGGTGGACAGCGAGGAGAAGCTGAAGGAGCTGGAGCAGTTCAGCCTCTGGAACTTCTTCTCCTCCTTTTTAAAAGAGAAGCTGAATGACACCTACGTGAACGTGGGGCTGTACAGCACAAAAACCTGCCTCAGGGTGCAGACGGTGGAGGACGACACCGACTACAGTGTCTCGGTGACCCGGAGTAAGTGGTGCCCGTGTGGCGGTCGCACAGCGCCAGGCACTGCGCCGCGGGGGCGAGGCAGGGACACGGCGCCAGCCCAAGGCGGCCCGCTGGGTTCTGACTGCGACCCGCTCGGACGGTTCCGGGAGACTCCGCCCCGTTAAGTCCGTCAGGCCTCGAGCGAACCTCACTTGGGGTCACGCTGAGCGCCCCCCCCCCCAGGACGGAGAGGCTCGTTCCTGGCACTGCCAACAGCCCTGAGCGGGACCCCTGGGGCCCCTCAGCGGGTAGGACGTGTGTGCTCCCAGGCAAGGACGTGGCCTAGAACACCAGCGCCTGTGAGGACGTGAGTTTCGCAGGAGGAGGGTGCGGTCGAAAGTCAGCTCCCAGCAAGGAGCACGTGGAGCCCCGAGTGGAGGAGGGCCTCTGCCCCGTGGGGCTCCTCGGGCCGGGACACTCTGAGTGCCCTGGGAAGGCTGCCCAGAGACGGCGGCCTGGCCTGTTGCCCCTCGCTGGTCATGACAAGGGCCTGGCACGCCACGAGCAATAGTGTTTCCGACGTTGCTGTGACATGGGCAGCGCCCTCCTCTTCCTCCGGCCCCACGTTTCTGGTTGTGTGGAGGTCCCTTTGCACCCACAGACCTCGCCCCGTCTGTGTGCGGGCCTCCCCTGGACTCGGAGCTCTTGAAGGTGAAAGCTGTGGGAATGTCCGAGCTACGGGCCTCTGCCTGGGCCCCTGGTGAGGTCTGAGTGTAGGTTTCCAGTGCGGGACCTGGTCGACACAGAATGTGGTTGGTAGCTTCAGGGAAGTTAAGTGGCTGCTGGGCCGACCCGAGGGCTAGGTGAGTTGAGCCTGAGCCCGACTTTCGGCTTGAGAACCTGGCGTGGTAGCGACCCCTTGTGGGTACTCACACGAAGCGTAGCTGGCCCTCTGCCTTGCTGTCCCAGGGAAGTTTCTTTTTGCTTTTGCCCTGGGTAGCTAAAATAAAAATAAGACCTTTAGGAAAGTCCAGGCTAGACCTGTTTATCTTGGGGAGAGCACCCGGCCTTGCTGTGAGGTCCACAGTGCTGCTTCCTGTTACTGTGGCTGGCCAATTTTGTTGGTTTTGCCTTTATCATTTTATTTTTTTTTCTAAAGATGTATTTATTTATGCACACATAACTGGGGCACAGGCCAGAGGTGCAGGGGCAGTGAGAGGACTCCCCAGAGACAGAATGGGGAGCAGAACAGACAGATCGACGAAACACACTGCTGAGGGGGCAGCGGGGAGACTGGAGAGGTCTGCTGCGCCCTGGGGTCCCTCCCTGGCCGGGGATTGAACTCGTGCTGCAGCCGCTGCAGGCAGCTTCCCAGTGCTGCGCCCAAGGAAGGGCCTGGGCTTTGCCTTTATAATGCCTCACACTGTCTGGTTCCCCTGTTGAACGGAAATCTTTCTTTACCTCAGGGTTTGACTCCAGACTCTTCCTAGTTTTCCTCCTCGGACTTATACTGTTTTTCTGCGGAGACTTGCTGAGCAGGTACGTGGCCAGGCCAGCCTGCCCTCAGCGGCCGGGCGTGTCCCTCGGGAGGGCCCAAGTTTGGGGGCCGTTACCTACGGATGGCTTTTAAAGAGACTTTCATAGGTGTCCATTTTTTCCCTCATGTTTAATAAGATTGGAAACAATCAAAGCCCCCCATCAGGCGGCCCGTCTGTGGCAAGGGTCCGCCTTTCAGGCTCCAGCTGCAGCCCCGACCCCAGGCCCGGCACTGGCCCCGTGTAAGGCTCGCACAGAGCTGTGCGGTGTTCCGGGCCTTTCGGTGTGAAGGAACAGACTTCGGCCGCTTGCTTCTTTTTGCCGGTAGGAGCCCACTGGCTGAGCAGGAAAGCCAGCAGGTGCACATACATGTACAAACACAGGCGCCAGCACAGAGCAGACCAGTGCGCCTGCGCGGAGACTCGGTGTGTGGGTCAGGCTTCTCACCCAGCAGAAGCCTCTGCGGCGTAGTGAGTGAAGTTTTAACAGCAGGAGCTTGAAGCTGGGCGGGAATGGGCTGTGGGAGTTGTCCCTTACTTCTGAGCTCAGTGAGGGGGCTGTGGGTGCTCTTCTCCACTCCCCAGGGAGGCTTGTCCCCTCCTGGGTACCGTGTGGCCCTCGAAGGTCGAAGCTGGGGACAGCCAGGGGCAGCAGGGAGCTTTCCGTTAGTACCCCCGACCACTGAAATGAGGGTAACGCTGAACCCTAGATATACTGTATTTTTGCCTCCACATACAGAACTGTGGTAACTGTAAATTAGGCGCAGTAAGAGATGAACAGCAGCTAATAATAAAGCTGCTTACAACTATGTGCTGTAATAAAGTTACATGAATGTGGTCTGAAAATAGCTTATTGTACGTAGTATTTTCATAGTGAGGCTCATTGTGGGTAACGAAAGCTCAAAGTGAAACCTCTGATAAGGGGCCGGCTGTTCTGTGGTGCAGTCTGAGAGTCACCTTGGTAACCCGGCAGCGCCTGACTGCCGCGGGCCAGCGTCTTCAGCTTGCTCCCTCGAGTTCGGGCAGGCGCTGCGCTGACCTTTCTCCCCTGGGCCGGGCTGGGGTGCGTGCAGCTTACACATTGCCAGCAAGTGCGTTTTCTCTCCGCAGGAACCAAATCTTCTTCTACTCCACCGGGATGAGTGTGGGAATTGTGGCCTCGTTACTAATCGTCATTTTTCTGCTGTCCAGATTGATGCCCAAGGTACAGAACAATCCTTGTCCGCAGTTAGATGAGTTTGTTTAGCACAAACTCTGAATTGGGGAGTTCGCAGCACTGAAAATTTGCATCAAAGATCGCTAGGTCGATGTCCTGGTCTTCCCTTGACTCAAGCACTTCCATGCTGGCAGCCGGACCCGGCCTCACGGGGACCCCTTAAGCCCTTTGCTCAGTGGGGCTCTGGTTGCCTTCCTGCTAGCGGATGGCTCAGCCAGGCTTTCAGGTTACTGAGCATCTCATTCCCTCAGTGTTCTTTGTAGACTGTGCCTTAAAGGGCAGGACCGGTGTTTGGTTTTCGTTTTTGTTTTTGTTTTTTTAAGAGATGTGGGTGGGGGGCATTTCTCGGAGCTAGATTCAAACAGAAGTCATAGTTCTAGCTTGCTTCACTTTTTGCTTTCACGTCTGCTCTGCCGTAGAGAAGCCCCATTTACTTCATCATTGTGGGAAGCTGGTCCTTTTCTCTGTACCTCATTCAGCTGGTGTTCAGAAATTTACAAGAGATCTGGAGGTGTTACTGGCAGTATCTGCTAGGTAAGCGCTGGTTTTGCCCTGCCTTTTCAGGGGTTTCGACTGTTTTACTTGATCATGAAAAGAGGTGGTCTGAGAGGAGTTGAATAGCTTATACCATCTTATTAATTAAGATTCATAGTTCTTCACTTATTTCTAGCACCTCTAGAATCAGAATGATGCTAGGAATAAAGCCTTGGTTTATTGATATTTGTAAGCACCCTTCTAACACAGTAGGCATTTCTCTGAAAAGCCGGAAGTTGACTTTATTAATGTAATGATATTTTAAATATACTTGGGAACCTTAAGAAGTAGAATTCTGCTGGGCTTCTCTGTGCCCTCTTTTCCTAATAACCCCGTCCTTCGCAAAACAAAACTGAAACACCTGCAGTGAATGATATCTATAAGAAGTCTGTTTTGATCATATAGACAGTGATCCATATTCCTTTGAGAGGTGATTAACCTAGATTTTCATATATTGGGTTTTTAAAGTCTGTTCTAGAATTGTTCAACATGTGGCTTAACTGTGCCAGTTGAGCCGTGTGTAGTTGGGTAGCTGGAGGGATAGGCCCCAGCAGGGCCTCGCAGTCGGCCGCTGACAGCACGTGAGTGTCCGCACTGTCCTGCCGAAAGGTGCCGGAGAGTGTTTCCTGCTGTTCCTCATGCAAATTACTTTTATGGGTCAGATCCAGAAAGGGTGGGTCTGGTGCCTTGTCCTAGGCTACATCCTGGCGGTCGGGTTCCTGAGCTTCGCCGTCTGCTACAAGTACGGACCCCTGGAGAATGAGCGCAGCATCAACCTGCTGACGTGGGCGCTGCAGCTGCTGGGCCTGGGCCTCATGTACGCGGGCGTCCAGATCCCGCACGTCGCCCTCGCCCTCATCGTCTCCGCCGTGAGCGCCAAGTACCTGGAGCGGCCTGTGCAGTGGCTGTGCACCACCTACAGGTGACTGGAAGGCGGTGACCGGGCGGGCGGCGGGCGCTGTCGCAGCCCAGGGGACAGGCTGGCCCGGAGCCTCTTTGTGCATGGAGATGTTGGTCCACTGTGCGTCTCCTCTGTCCCTTCCCAAGGCTGCTTCAGACTCGCGGGGCATCTTGCTAACCAAGCCCACTGATGTTCTCTAAGATAGAAGGATCTAGTAGGGCGCTGTGTGTTCCTGTTACCACCAGGTGGTGCCGAGCGCATCACTGTTGCGCCTCAGGCCTGGGCCTGGCGACTTCAGGCCACTTCCCTGGCTGAGCTGCCCAGAGCTGCCCTTCCTTTCAGATGCCCCACAGCACGCTCTCGCGCGCATGGCGAGTGTGGAGTAGGCCTGGGCTCCTGAAGGTAACGGTGGCTCTGTTGGCAAGATGAGGCCTTCAGTTGGGGGAGCCGAGTCCAGGGACCATCGCCATCTTACTGGCATTTTCTCATCCTTTTCCCATGTATCGGAAAGAAGATATTCCTTCTTATAGAAAATACATGATTTACTCACGCTGGTGAACAATAGTGACTGTCTGACATCACAGTCACCGTCCAGTGTGTCCCGTGCGCGCGTCCTGAGTAAGTGTGAAGGAGGCAGGCACGCGACGCCAGAGCCCAAGCCCTGCAGTGGGCACGGCCCGCGGGGGGGCGGGGGGAGGCCGGGTGCAGGTGCCCACTAACGATCCAGGTGTTACTTTGGTGGGCACAGGAAGTTGTGTAAGGCAACAGAAAAGGCTGCCCCCCCCCGCCTCCTGACAGAAGAAGAGTACCGGACCCAAGGGGAGAGGGAGACCCGGAAGGCCTTAGAGGAGCTTCGGAAGTACTGCAACAGTCCGGATTGCTCTGCTTGGAAGACTGTTTCTCGAATCCAGTCTCCAAAGAGGTAAACTCCTGGCCAGGTAGGCCGAGCATTTATCAGGGTGACTTCGACCTTTGAGTCTTAACAGAGGTCGCGCATCTAGCAGTCACTTTGCGTTTGTGGCTGTCCCTGCTCATTTAGAAGTTGTCGGGGAGGAGGCCCCGACCTCATGGTGAGCAGTGGCTTGTTTTCTGGTTCCTCAAGAGCCTGTCTCCTTTAGCTTCGAGTGTAGGTTAAGGTGGGGAGAGCCCAGGACCGTGTTAAGTTTCCCCTTTTATGGTTTTGCATTGTTCTCTGAGGTTTTGTTTGAGTTTTTGTGGGAAGGGTCCTTGTTTCCTTTTATCTGGGAGCAGTTTTACCAATGAGTATGTGAAGTACTAATTTGGAATCCTGGTGACATAACATTTATGGGCTGGGGAAGCACATATATCTGCCCCTCAACCTCCTTATCAGGACTTGGTGATTAGAGGAACCGCGGCTTTTCCATAATGAGGTGGGTAGACCCCGTGTTTATCAAGCAGGTTGGGCCTGCAGGGAATTTGGCCTATGACCCCATTTGCCTTTTCCCTCGTTTCCTGCCTTAGTCTATTTTTGCCTGGGTAAGAATGGACGTTGACTCGTTTCGGTATTACTTGGGTTGTGATCATAAGAAGGGTTCCAGGCTGTGCTAGTTTTGAGGGATGACCAGAAAGGACAGAGACTGGTCCCTGATGAGTATTGTCCTCTCTTTTCCAGGTTTGCTGACTTTGTGGAAGGCTCTTCGCACCTCACGCCGAATGAGGTTTCTGTCCATGAGCAGGAGTATGGCTTGGGGAGCATCATTGCCCAGGAGGACTTCGACGACGAAAGCTCTGAGGAAGAGAACTCAGACTCCCAGTTCCCCGCCGTCACACAGAACCACTCCCTGACTTAGCGAGCACTGGCTGCTTCCACATGGACTCACTCGGCACCTCGGGGCCCGCCGCCTCTGCAGGGAGCAGCTCCGTGGCTCTGGACGGGAGCGGCGGTGCCAGGACCCCAGCTCAACTGGAGACCCGAGTCGGCCTGCTGGGAGTGGTCTTGGTGGCCTCGCAGGGCCCTGGAAGGGAGCGGCCAGAGCAGCGGTGGCTTCCACGGGCTGAGCTGTCTGCCCTCATGTTGCCAGAGACACTGGACAGCCGCAGCTCCCCCGGCAGCCTGGCTCCTGCTGGTTAGTCGTGGTGCTTCTGCCTGGGGCTGGCACCCAGACTGAGGCCTGGCCCCGTGCCGTCTGCTTCAGGCTGTGGGCTCTTTCTTCCAGAAAGAAATCTACAGGCCCAAACCTGCCCCTGCCCCTTTCAGCTTTTATTTCGGTCATTTTTAAATAGTCTTGTGTTCACTGTTAAAAGAAAATAGATTTTCATCTGTGTTGTTTTTTAAGTGGATGTCTTTAAAAACACAACAAACTCGTGTTCCAGAGCCATCAAGTGCTCCGGAAGGACAAGCCCCATCGGCCCTTCATGGTCCTCGCCTGTCCTCACCCACGAGGCCCAGGAGCTGTTTACGCAACTCTGAGTTAGTGTGGCCAGCAGTGTTCTGAGTCCTGCTTCTTGGGGCTCGCTCGTCAGCTTTCCCTGGGAGGGCTCATATTCCACTTTTACTTTCGTCTCGTCCCTCTTCCATTCCTCCTCGCCCCTGTTGCCCTTTCAGGGAGGATGTTTTTTCACCTGTGAAGTGTTTTGTTTTTTTTTAAAGATTTATTTATCTGTGCACACAGAACTGGGGTACAGGCCAGAGGCTCAGGGGCGGCAAGAGGATTCACCAGAGACAGAGCGGGGAGCAGAACAGGCAGATCTACGAAGTACACTGCCGAGGGGAGCAGCGGGCGGGTCAGGAGAGGTCTGCCACGCCATGTGGTCACCTCCGGGGCAGGCGGGAATCGAACTCATGAGGAAGCAGCTTTAGATTCTCAGTGCTGTGCTCCAACCCGCTGTGCCACCAGGGAGGGCCCAGTGTTTTGTTTTTTTTTAAAGACACTCAGAACTGGGGTACAGGCCAGAGGTGCGGGGGGCGAGAGTCCTCCCCAGAGACAGAGCGGGGAGCAGAACAGGCAGATGGACAAAGTACACTGCTGAGGGGAGCAGCGGGCAGGTGGGTCAGGAGAGGTCTGCCGCGCCCTGGGGGTCCCCTCGGGGCGAGGATCGAATGCACACTGAGGTGGCTGCGGCCTGCTCGCGGTGCGGCGCCCTAACCTGCTGCGCCACCAGGGAGGGCCTTGTTTCATTTCTTATGTTCTCTTTGCCTAGCTCAGGACATTATTCCTCCTAGTTCGGAGAAGTGATCTTGTTTAGGGAGTTGGAACGCTTCCGCAGGTGCACCATCTTCCTCTCGGTGGGTCCTCTGTCTTTACGCTGCTGTGGGATCCAGACACGACTTTTCTTGCCACTGTTGTGGCCCCCTCGGCCTCTCCTTTCCAGTCTTTCCACCTGAACCCTTTCCCCAAATCTGGCTGCTTTGTAAGCCCTGCAGCTCTCTGGGAAATGTTTGATACAACGTACAGCTTGTAGGTCCGCACCCCTCGACTCGCCCTCGGGATACACTCCTCTGGGTGCCCACAGAGGGGTCAGGCACACCCCTGAGAACGGGTCACGCAACTGTGCCCAGAAAGCCTTGCCTGTTATTACAGTGACATTAGTTTCAACTTCCTGTGCCATGGGCAAGTACTTTTATAAACCAGCAATTTGGTTTATGAGGGAGCGTATTCCAAAGTCTCTTACTTGCTTTGCTCTCTGTGATCTTCACCCTTATACCTCTGAGAGAAGTATCACCGCTCCGCCAGGACGGTAGGCGCTGGCGAGAAGGATGTCGGGCTGAACCGCCGCACCTTGGCGAAGGCAGACGGCTTCCTCCGGAGGCGGCAGTGACGCTTCGGCCGCCTGGTAGCAGCCGACCTGGGAAGGCCTCGGCTCCGTTGCTGTCTACGACCCTCTGACCAGTGACTAGTACCGCTGGCGTCTCCTGTGGCTTTATGCTTGCCTTAAAGTGACAGCTCCCTCAGTTGGCAGCAAATAGACATAGCAGAAAGTGAAAGTGAAAAAAGCAATGTTGGGGCAAACTTGTGGCTGGAGTTGCAGAGAAAGGAGCGCTCCAGGGGTCCCTTGTGCTGTGGAGATTACGCACCAGTGAACTGTCACCTCCACAAAGAACTGTTGAAATTGCTGAAATGCGGCATTTTGCCTCGTTTATAGAAACTGAGATGTAGCATACTGGAGCATGAGTCAGTCGGAAAATGGGTCCAGGTGTCCTCGGGGCTCTTCCCTGGGCCTTTGGTGCCGCCCCAGGAGGGCGCGTCAGATCGTTGATTGAATCGTGTCTCATTTCAGTGAGGAGGATTGTGAAATAAGTAAGATTCTTCTGTTTTCTGAACACCTGGTGAAATAGTGTTCCCAGCTCAAGACCAGTTTTCTCGCCGTATTTGAGCTTGGGATAAGTAAGGTCAAACCCAGTTTTCCACCCCTGGCTGGGGTCACAGGCTGCGCTGGAGGCCGTGGGGCGGCGCATCCCTGCCCGCTGTGTCCAGAGACTGCTTGACTGCAGTCTTCAGGGCCGCTCTTGTCTCCCTCCTGGCCACTTGGCCCGCTGGCCCCGTCACTACTTGAAGCCCCCTTACTACTCTCGGGCAGCTACAGCTCTTGCAGTTCCCGCAGTCTCCTCAGACTGATCTCGTCAAGAAGGATCGAAGGGGTTTGGGGTGAGCTGGACACGGGAGCCATGTCGAAAGCCACGTATGTGTCTTGCTTAGCAAATAGCAAACTAAATTGGCCCCGGGACGCAGGGGCGCATCAGCGTCGGAAATCTGCTGCCTCGGAGAGGTCTGGCCACGGGTGGCCACCACCGGCAGCGCGAGAGGCCAGCTGGGTTCTGTGCTGATGTAGCAGAGGCGGGTTTTCCTCGGGCGGGGCGGGGGGTGGTGTGGCCTGTGCCACTGAGCTCCCGGGGCCACTTGGCATCGCTGCTTCAGCCGGGGCCGGGTGCTGCCCTGGAGGAGAGTGTCTCGGAGCCTCACGTGACGCGAGCCAGAGTCTGGGGCCCGCCGGGGGCACGGGGCCTGGTCCCGAGATGAGCGCTCATCCCAGCCGGGGGTTCCCGGGGTGCTGGCCAAGCACTTTCACAGCATGTGAGACCTCGGGCCCCCACAACTGCCTCTTCCCATGTGCGTCATTTCCACTCTTGACAGTGACTCGAAAATGGTGACAGCACCTTCCCTCAACTCTCTTCGGCGCTGCAACGTCCTCGTGCGCGATGCGAGCAGGCGAGGCAGCTGTTGGCGCCCTCGGCCCGGCGGTGGCCTCAGCTTCCTGTTTTCCCAATGGCGGCTGGCAGTGGGGAACCGCAGCCGAGATTTTAGACTGTTGCTGCCTTAGCGTTCTTTAAAAAGATTTGTCACTTATATTTAAAGCAAAAGTGCACGAATGTTTCAGAGGACGAGATGATCAGGGGTGACTGCCACGAGTCTCACCTCCACTCGTCCGTAAGAAAAGATGATGCTGTGTTTATTTTTTCATATGCATTGCATAGATTTGTAAGCTGAATTTTAATAAACTGAAAGACGAGTGGTTTCCCTCTTTTTAAAGATTTATTTATGCATAAAAGAACTAGGGTGCAGGTTGGAGGTGGGGGGGTTGTGTGAGAGGATCCACCAGAGACAGAGCGGGGAGCAGCACAGGCGGATCTTCTGAGAGACACCGCTGAGGGGAGCAACAGAGACAGGAGGGGTCAGCTGCGCCCTGGGGGTCACTCGCTGGCCAGGGATGGAGGCCGTGCTGCAACGGCTGGTGACAGTGCTGAGACTTCACCCCCGCGCCGGCAGGGAGGCCCCAGCAATGGGGTTTTGCCTCCATCTAGTTCACTCTTCTCCTTCCCCGCCTCCTTCCATACTTCCGTCCCTAGGTTGGCTGGCTCCAGGAGGTCAGTCTTAAAGGGCTGTCCTTGGGGAGCAGCAGGCAGCACCATGTGGCTGCTCCAGAAAACAAGTAACTGTCCCTGGTCCAGGGAGCGACCGAGGGTTGTGCTTGGCGCGAACCATCTCTCCTTTCACCAGTGTGGGTGAGGGGCGACCTGTGGATCAGCCGTGGGTGAGAGGCGACCTGTGGATCAGCCGCTGGGATGTGGGCCCGGGGCTTGTGCAGGGAAGGAAAGGGCTGTCGAGAGCACTAGGGGCCTCCCTGGTGCCTCGGGGTTAAGCCTCAGCTGGGCCTGGGCTCTCTCCCTGGCCAGGGAGCTGACCCACATTCGGCCCAACAGACCTCTCCTGCCTGTTCTGCGCCCCTCTGTCTGGTGAGTCCCCTTCCCCCACCCCCAGCCTCTGGTTTACACCCCAGTTCTACGTCAAACGAAAGCATCCCGCAAGAACTTCAGTCATGTCTAGGCCCAGCTACCACAGCACGTCTGGTCCTTTCCCTCCTTTATGCTCGGGCCCTTCCCTTTGCTCCTGGGATGACCGGAGCGTTTGCAGGGATTCTGCGCCCCTCTCGGCCGTCTGGGCTACGTGCAAAGCCATTGTCCCTTTTTTCAGAAACCATGAAGGAGAAAGAAACAGGCTGTTGACCACATGTAAATTTATGTAGATGAATGCACGGTAAAGGCTTATGCTGCCCTCTCCCCGCCTGAAAAATAACAGGCAGCTGGGAGCAAGGGGATTGATCACTCGTGGCTGAGTTAATAAAAATGTAGAACGATTACTTAGGTGTGCTGGATCAGAGGGTGGCCACGCAGAGGCGGCACCCAGGAGCTCGTCAAGATGCAGACGTCTGATGCTGAAGTGGGCGGGCCGAGGCTCTGGGTTTCTGAGAAGTGCAGGTGATTCCGATGCTGCGGGCTCGGGACTTTGCTTTGAATAGCAACACGGCTGAGCTGTGAGCGCGTTGCCTGTGCTTACCAAGTAGCTGATTTGTGTGTTACTGATTGACACCACGTCATCTGTGAACATCAAGAAGAGCCTCGGCCCCCAAATGTCTCCCCCACCATGCCTGAGAAGTTAGGGTTTTATTGGGTAATGTCTTTTTTTTTTTTTTTTACAGTGTTTATACCAGGAAGGATGAACAAGTGTGCATCGCTTTCATCCGATTGCTGCCCACCTGCTGTCAGAAACCAGAGGATTTGGGGTTATTTCTTCCTTGCCAGTGTTACTGAAGTTTAATTTCCACACAATAAAATCTATTGGTTTTAAATGTTGCTGGATTTTGCCGAATGCAGGTGTCACCACCATTTCCATAGTCACGACTTGGTGGGTTTCCGTCACCCTCCCAGAACCTCTGTATGTCCCTTAAAGGACTAGACTTTTTTTTTTTGAGTTATTTATTTGTGCCTACAGATCTGGGGTACAGGCCAGAGGTGCAGCGGGGGAGAAGATTCACTAGAGACAGAGTGGGGAGCAGAACAGGAGGATCCACTGAAATACAGAGGGGAGCAGCGGGCGGGTCAGGGGAGGTCTGCTGCGCCATGTGGTCACCTCCGGGGCAGGCGGGGATCGAACTCATGCGGAAGTGGCTTTAGCTTCTCAGTGCTGCGTTTTTACCCGCCGCACCACCACGGAGGGCCCTGGACTGGAAACTTTAATGGGGGCGGGAGGAAGGAGGCTTCACACTTCAAGTGCAGAGACCAATGACCTCCACCTGCTTCTGAGTCTCCTGCGAGCAGGAGACCCCACCTCCCGCATCCTCTGTGCCCCAGCTAAGGAGGCTTCGACAGGTCTTAAAATCCCCGCTGACTCTGGTGTGTCTCCATACCTTATTAATTTAGGGTGACCCCTCTTCCCAGTTTGCTCAGAACTTCCCTAGCTCTAGCACTCAAATCCCATGACCAGAGAAATGGTTGGTGCCACCAAGCTGTGACGTTCGTGCCTTTGCTTCTGAAGCCCACTGCTGAGGGGCCGCGGGGGACAGGCGAGGTCTGCTGTGCCCTGGGGTCCCTCCCCGGCCGGCCGCGGGTCGAACTCCTGCGAGGTGGCTGCGGCTGGCGAGCGCCAAGGACGCGGCTTCTCTGAGTCGGTCCCGCTGTGAGCCGGTTGCAGTGCCTCTGCCTCGGGACACGCTCCCCGCACCCAGACGACGTGCTGATGCCCCTTGCACTCAACTTTCTCTTTCCCAGACCTTCCTACTCCCTTCACAGCTGCATATAGCAGAGCCATAAATGAGGTGAGAGCGGGCGGAGATGGGCTGCTGCGGATGGGCGAGGCTGGCGCACTGTGCTGCTCCGGTTTGAACCTTGAGCCAAGCAGCTGTGCTGGACGTTGGAGGATCAAGTCTCTGTTCAGCTAAGTGTCTGTAATTACTCAATTTGCTCTTTGTGCATGGAGGGGCGTGGGGACCGGGGACCTTCTGTGTCGGGATTCTCTGCAGTGGATGAGGGGCTTGCAAACTTCTTTCTTTTTAATAATTTTTGATTTTGCATACAGAGCTGGGGTACAGGCCAGAGTTGCAGGGGCGCTGAGAGGCTTCTCCAGAGACAGAGCAGGGAGCAGAACAGGCCCACTGAGGAAGCACACTGCTGAGGGGAGCAGCGGGCGGGTCAGGAGAGGTCTGCCGCGCCCTGTGGGTCAGCTCCAGGGTGGGGATCGAACTTGCACTGAAGCAGCTGCGGCCAGCTGGCAGCGCTGCATCCTCGCCTGTTGCCCACCAGGGAGGGCCCCGGTTTGCAAGCTGCTTAGGGACAGCGGCAGGTATTTCCAGCCGGGCCAGGGCCAGTGAACGGCCGTGGGGGTCTGCACCCGCACCCTCACGCTGAAGAGGGGCCGGAATTAGAAACACAGGGACTTAGGCTGGAAATGCACACGGAGGGCCAGGCCCCCGCGGGCCCTTGGCGTCTCAGCGCGCGGCTCCACTCTTGGCGTTTGGTGGCCGTGTGTCTGCACTGCTCCCCTCACAGGGTGATGGGGTCCAGTGAGAGGACCAGGCGGGAGCTGTGAATCTGTGCTTACGCAAACGCCAGGAGTTCTTACCAACTTTGGTCTTCCCGGCTGTGGGGGCCTGGTTCATGGGGAGGAAAGTGGAGAGGAATCTGGGGACTTGTTTGCTTAGTTCTGCATGAAAGTCACTGTACCCCCTAAGACAGGCGAGGGAGGCTTGAGGGAGGCGCCGTCCCCAGGCTTAGCAAGACGCCCCAGCTTCGCTCCTCTTTGGCGAATGCCTGAATTTGGGGAGTTTCCCTCGGTCACTTGCCACTGCGTGTGTCTCCTTTCCACATTCAAGGGGCGATGGAGTACGGACTCACGGAGCCCGCAGCGCGGGTGGCCGCAAAGGCTCTCTGCCAAGGGCATCTCCCTCTGGGCCCTGGGCGCGGGAAGGGTTAAGCGAGCCACACCCTCGGCCAGCCGTAATTGCCTCGGACTTTGTGCTGAGCAGCAATCTCCGGCCTCTCTGGCTCCACTGGCACAGGGTCCCCTGGAAGAGGAGCTGCAGGAGGGCAGCAGGGGAGGGCAGCCTTTCCGGCTCCACACCATGGACAGTTCCCGGTAGCTCAGGCTCGGGCACCTGGGGCCTGGAGTCCTGCGCCCTCCGCCACGCTGGGATTGCCCTGCCGCTCTCCACGAGACAGTGGCGCTGCACGCCAGCTCGGGTGTTGGGTGAGTCCTGCCTCGACCTCTGACTGCCCCTTCACATCTTCGTTGCTCTGCCTGCCGCCTTCCTGTGCCCCCGCCCACCTCCAACCAGTCACACGGGCCTGAAACCCAACCGCTGCAGCCGCCTTCTCCCAGCCCCACTCCAGCTCCCCACTCTTCTTGCTCGGTCTCCTGGGAAGGGGGTGCTGACAGCGCCTGCTTTTTGGGGCCGTGGGCATCAGATGAATGAGGGTGCACAGAGCGTTGGGCCCGCCTGACCCGCGGGAGGCTGCACTCTGGTCGCCCGGCTTCCTGCTCCCAGTGGAGTGGCCGAGCTCCATGCTCTTCCCGGAGGCAGGCGGGAGGCGGGAGGTGGAGGAGCGAGCCTGCAGCCCTCTGGCCACCTGCTTCCTCCCTTCCCCCCTCTGGGTATGGTGCAGAGAAGGATGTGGCCGACCCGTGAGGGAGTGCCCTTGACCATTGCACTAACACTCCTGCCCTGTTCCCGCCTCCCCACCCACTCAGCCGGGGACACCGGGGACACCGGGACTGGGGCTTCCCCAGGCGGCTCGAGGCCCCTCGGAGCACACGCCCTGTGCCCCTTCAACTCGCCTTTCCACAGTCACTGAAAAGCTGGGTGTGTCCCTCTGGGTAGGATCATGGCAGAAGGTTCTAGGAACGGCGCAAACCGGAGTTAGAAAAATGGGGACGCTTCCAGAACCTGACAGTTGTTGATTTCTGGGGAGACAAATTTCACTGATCTTCTAGGCACATTCCAGGTTTTTGTGGAGGCGCTCCGGCCTCCGCTCTCACTAGTCCTCTCCCAGGCCGTTAAAACACGAATCTCACCAGCAGGGAGGGGGAGCACGGGGGAAGGGGAGGGGCCAGTGCCTGAGATCCCGCCTGGGGTCCAGGGAGGTGGGAGAACTGGGGCAAACCTGGGCCCCTGCCAGGACTCGGTGCAGGAGGGCAGAGCCTTGGGCCTGGGCAGTTTGCTCCGGCTCCCAGCCCGCTCTGGGAGCACAGTGCTGCTCCCGCAGGTGCGCCCAGGGCGCCTCCCCCGCCAGGTGCTCAGGGGAGGGTGGCCTGTCCACTCGTGCCCTGCCTACCGGCCGCCTCCTGCTGAGGGGCTCCACAGCCCCCCACACTTGGCGTGACCCAGTGCAGAGCTAGACTGGGGTCTCTGGAGGGCCAGGACGCGGTGGGGACGAGAGAGGCCCAGCTCTCCTGCCTCCGCCCTCAGCTCCCGTCCTACACTGGGGCAGCCATCCGCCAACACCCCCCGCCCCCCAGGATCGACGACCCTTCTGGATATGGCTCTTCTGGAACGTTCCGTCGGGGTGGAGGACCTCATCCTCCTGGAGCCCCTGGCACAGGAGTCTCTGCTCAAAAACCTCCAACTACGCTTCGAAAACAAGGAGATCTATGTGAGTGGACGGGGCCGGCCGCGGTGCTCAAGGCCACTGGCCCCGCCGCCCGGCCTCACGCCCACTTCCTCGTCTTCCGGCCCCAGACCTACATCGGGAGCGTGTTGATCTCAGTGAACCCCTACCAGCAGCTGCCCATCTACGGCCCGGAGTTCGTAGCGAAGTACCGAGACTGCACCTTCTATGAGGAGAAGCCGCACATGTGAGGGGCTGAGGCGGGCTGCGCCCCTCCTGCTCAGACACCCAGTTCCTCCGTCCTCCCGAGGCGGGCCTCCAGCTGCCCCGCCCTCCCTGGCCCTCTGGAGCCCCCCCAACCCCCCCTCCCCTGAGGCTGCAGGGCCCTGGTCTGGCCAAGGGGGAGGGCAGCTGAGCGAGCCTCTGGAAATGGGCCCAAAAGGCGCCTGGTCTGGGCCTTCACCGTCACCCACTTGCTCCCCCAAGCTACGCCCTGGCCAACATGGCGTACCAGTCCCTGCGGGGCCAGGACCGAGACCAGTGCATCCTCATCACGGGCGAGAGTGGCGCCGGGAAGACGGGTGAGGCTCGTGGGGTCATGCTGGCAGGCCGCCTCTTGCCAAGCGGGCCTGGCCCTTACCTGTCACCTGCCACGCCCCTGGGTTTCACCCCGCTCCGAGGGGGCAGGGGAGGCTGCAGGCCGGTGGGGCTCCGGGTATGAGAACTGATTCTCCTTCTCTCGCAGAGGCCAGCAAGCTGGTGATGTCGTACGTGGCGGCCGTCTGCGAGAAAGGGGAGGAGGTGAACTCCGTGAAGGAGCAGCTGCTTCAGTCCAACCCGGTGCTGGAGGGTGAGAGCTTCCATCTCTGCCAGCCCCAGCGCCCCAGGGCCCAGCGCCCCTGGCGTCCGGGCCCCACCTTTCCCTCCCTGTTCCCCTTCAGCCTGAGCACGCTGAGGTGGGACGAGGCCCTGCCCTCAGCCCCTCAGGGCCCTCTCCTCCTCTCTGCAGCTTTCGGCAACGCCAAGACCATTCGCAACAACAATTCCTCTCGATTTGTGAGTGGCCGCCCCAGCCTGGCCGGGGAGGGCTGGACAGGGAGGCGCGTGCAGGGCCTGGGCGGACGGGGCCAACCGGCGTCTCTCTGGCCTTTGCAGGGAAAATACATGGACGTGGAGTTTGACTTCAAGGGGGCCCCGCTGGGCGGCGTCATCACAAACTGTAGGTGCTCCCCCACTCCCGCGGGCGCTCACCCCTCCTCCCTCTTCCACCCCCATGGGGTCCTCTTGCTGACCCCCCTTTGTAGAACGGAGGAAGGGCGGACTGGGGAGACTTCCCAGCCCCACCCAACCGCCAGGGGTGCCCAGGAGGAAGACAGAATTCCAGGGGACCAAGGGGACCTCCCAGGGCCCAGGACATTATTTTCTGATCTCGTCAGATCTGCTTGAGAAATCCCGAGTGGTGAAGCAACTGCAAGGAGAAAGGAATTTCCACATCTTCTATCAGCTGCTGGCTGGAGCAGACTCAGAGCTGCTGAGTATGTGGCTGGCCTGGACCCACAGGGACTCCCCAGCCCCCCACCCCAGAACCCCTGGGACTCCCCAGCCCC